CCACTATTCGTTGGTAAAAGAGTAGCCCAAGAGTTGGTGGTGATGACTAGCTGTCTTCCATCTAGTCTTACACTGCTAAATTAGGGACGGCTAGCGCAGATAGCCCTCGTGTAGCTTTGCGCGAAATTCAAAACAAATAAACAAACCAAAAGGAAAGCATGCTATACTCATTCTGATGACCACGATTATGTATTACTGCCCGTCACCACAAATTCCACTGCGTCGGGGGACTTTACACATCATATGATGGAATGGAATTGGTGTAATTCCGGTTTCCTTGACCATCTTTCTCTTGAAAACAGCTGAATGTTGTGTCTTTAGCTTCAAGTCCTTACTCATTATTTTGTTAACGGTACCAGGAAATTTCTCCATCTTCATCAAAATAACATTTTTGGTCAAAAGGTTCTCTTTCGTAACTATAATATTTACGTTTCAAATGAGGGCGCTCTCCAAGTTAAGTTGATGACGGAGATTCGAACCCGCTACCCTCAGATTGCGAGTCAAGCGCTCGAACCACCTGGCCATGCCGGGCCCCACACTTTTGGTAAAATCGTTAAGCCTTCAAAGAATAAAGGTAATTTCGTAAGGTTCCTTCTGAGTAAATTCTCTTATAAAAATACAGAATTATGTAATTTATTTCAATTGTATTTACTATCCTATCATTTTTATCCTTTAAATCTGTTATTGTGTTTCTGATTTGTTTTTTGGGTAGTAGATGTTTGTGTTAACCTAAAAACATAAGATCTAGGGGTCAATTTCTTTGGATTCGTTTATTGATAGAGCGATGGTGTTTTATTATGGTTTATAGTAAAATGACCAGATAGTTTGTTCCTTGAAGCTACGTTGACTGTTTATTGACTTTACCTTATAACTTGGTTGTGCATTTAATATTTGGAAAAGTCACGTTATTCTAGGATACTTTTTTTTACTGATATAATTCCAAGAAACAAAAAAAAATACAATCATGAATTACTTAATACATTTAGTCTACTACTGAGACGTTATCTGCACCTTATGGACAAAAATGCCACCACGATAGTCAACTAGGAATGGATGAACAGGTAAGAAAAATTAATGATTCTACTGAAAGTAGTCGGAGTGTGGTATCTAAAACTCTAAAAAACAATAATAGTTTGCAATAATGGGAAAATATTTGAAGAAAATTGTACTTAACGACGAAAAGAGTAACTAATATTTCTCACGGCAGAGAGAGAGAGAGAGTTAATAGCATTTTATTTGAACGATCCTTACATGCTAATATGGTGGTATGTCGTAACGTATGGTAGTCGTGGTGCCACGGGCAACATGTTTATCACATATATTTTGGGCTTATGTCTAATTCCAGACCGCTCAACATAGCAAAGTGGTCACAACTAACCTAGACGAATGTAAAACTTTTCAAAAGAGACATATTCACATAGTGAGATTGTTAAATGTTGTAGAGCCAAATGACACTGCATTTCCAAGAAATTTAATATTCATTGTTTTCCACGAAAGCCAAAAAATACCAAAACAATGCGTTTGGGCAGCACTAAACTGCAACATTACAACTCACCAAACATGCTCGCTCTTTCAGCCGTGAGGGCGTTATAATGTTACTATTCGTTGGTAAATGAGTAGCCCAAGAGTTGGCGGTGGGTGGTGATGACTAGCTGCTTTCCCTCTAGTCTTACATTGCTATATTAGGGACGGTTAGCGGAAATAGCCCTCGTATAGCTTTGCCAGAAATTCAAAACAAACCAAAGGTTTGAGTCTCTAGATGCTCTGTTAACGCTTACGGAAATATCTGCTGATTGTCAGTCGTTAGCAAAAAATAACAGTGGAGTAGTTATTAACATTTGGCCCAAAATTGGCAGTTCTCTGCTCGAGGTCTTTAATGAACCTTTGGAGAGAGGTAAATGTTGTAGAAGTATGAAAATAAAAGCAATAATAAAGTTAATACCTGAAAAGTTGCTTGTCTACAATATCAGACACTGTTATCACATTATTTATCAGTCATGGAAAATAACAAAACGTGTTTCCTGCTTTATCTAAGAAATATGAATTCAAGACGAGGTTCATTACGAAGTTCATTTTTCTTCTTCTATTGACATTATACCATTTTTTAAATTAAGTTATTCGTAACTTTTCTCGTGTCTCCGCGTCTTCAGTTAAAGAACTGTAAGAAATGAAAAGACCGATATTCTCGTTTAGAATATCTTCTATTGTAATGGGCGAACTGAGAAGTTTATGTAATACACGTTCGAAATGAAGTTCGAAGCTGGTTTGTTTATTATTCAGATATTTGATTCAATCCACCTTTTTCGAAATGTTTTGTTTGTTTGTTTGAATTTCGCGCAAAGCTACACGAGGGCTATCTAGTGTAAGACTAGAGGGAAGGCAACTAGTCATCATCACCCACCGCCAACTCTTGGGCTACTTTTTTACCAACGAATAGTGGGATTGACCGTCACATCATAACGCCCCCACGGTTGAAAGAGCGAGCATGTTTGGTGGGACGGACATTCGAACCCGCGACACTCAGATTGCGAGTCGAGCGCCCCTTAACCACCTGGCCATGCCGGGCCTTTTCGAAATGTAAAGACAAGGTATTTCTATGAATTTGTCTCCAAACAAAGTGTATAAATGCAATTGAAAATTAGACATCAAACTCATAAAAGGGTCTAATAGCTGAATTATATGCCATATAATATTAACGATAATTTGATTACGAATTAATACATTATCTTTCAATGATCAAGAAAAAGGTTGAAAACGTTTCCAATATTTCCATTTCAGCTCATCCCAATTTCTTTTAATCCATACTAAAGAATTTCCCAAATACACTCTAAATACTTTTATTCCGTGATTCGACCATGTATGGCCTAATCTATTTTCTATGCGTATTTTCCTAGCACCAGACCATAAACCAAAATAATTATTTTCATTAAACTTTGTTCTAGAATATGTTTTAAATTCCTTTGTTAAATTAAATTCTGTCTAATTTAAATATTTATATCATCAGTAGAAGATAAAACAAATCCTTATTGTTTACTGAAATTTGATATTGTTTGTTTGTTTGTTGCTTGTTTTTAATTACGCACAAAACTACGCAAGGACGATCTGTGCTCTGCCCACCACGGGTATCGAAACCCGGTTTCTAGCGTTGTAGTCCGCAGATATACCGCTGTGCCACTAAGGGGCTTGATATTGTTCTTAAAGAACTTTCTTTCTTAAAATATATAGAGATGGTTGTATAGTTAATATATAAAATAACCAACTATATAGGATCTCCTTGTCACACACCTTTCTTTAAAGGAATGGCCATGAACTACATAAAATATCTTATTTGTACGCAATGTATCAATTGCCCTTATAAATACTCCCTCCACGACCAACTTCCCGAGTACCTGCTTCAACTATTTGTGGTTTATGAAGGCCAATGCTTTTTCATTATCTAAATTTACAATAGCCAAAAAAATTCGTTATTTTATCATATCACACTTAAGACGTATATTATCATAAATACATCAATAAGTCTGACTCTTATGAATCAGTTGACTCATAAAGGGTTTGTTATGCCCTTAAAATAATCATCACATAGAAATAATACTGGTCGCCAATTTTTTTTAATCCGTTAACTCTCCCCCGAAATAAATGGGAAAATATTAGGTTAATCTTGCCGCCATATTTACTGAATGATGAAAAAGAATAACGGTTGAAATGACTGCGTTTACAACACAATTTAAACACGTTAGTCCTGGTGGATTAAATAACAGCAGGGGAAATGTAACTGATAACGAACAAAGCAGTATATCTAGATTAGAGCTACCAGTAACAAAACAGGAAACAAAAATTTGTACAGGAATTTGATAAAAATTAGAAAATCCAATTTTAAATGAATATCATCCTAAGTTACCAAAAAGCATACGGAAAACAATATATAAAGTCTGGTCGAAAAAACGAGATGCAGGTATACAGTGGGGACTTGGGAATGATACACTGTCTTCCTCATTATGGTTGTTTTGGTCATGTGTTCTGAGAGGATCAGGTACACCCTGGACCTCTACCTCCCTCCTGAGCCACTGGGATTCTTTTAGTTTGGTTTGAATTTCGCGCAAATCTACACGAGAGTTATCTGCGCTAGCCGTCTTTAATTTAGCAGTGATAATGCAGCTAGTCAACACCATCCTCCGCCAACTCCTGGGCTACCCTTTTACCAACGAATAGTGGAATTGACCGTCATGTTGTAACGCTCCCATGGCTGAAAGGGCGCGTGTCAAACCATTATGGTTCAAGGAAATAAATGCGACTGATGATGAATTGTGACCGTATTGCAACATAATGACAGGTAATAATTGGAATATATATTTCAGTTGTGTTGCAAATGAACTTTTATTAAACATGATTTGAAAATTGTATTCAACTATTTTAGGATTTTGTTTTGTTTTGAATTTCGCGCAAAGCTACAC